ATTGTGGCGTCGTCCAGTGTTTGTTTCGATAAGTTGTAGACAGCGCGTTGTTTATGATTCGTGTCTGTGGTCAACGATTTCGTATGTTGGACAATTGATTTAGTTGTTAATTTATGGTACTTATCAATGTGTTTATTTTTGCATTCATTGTATTTAGTTGTTTCGCGTTTATCTAAAGTTTCCATGCAATTTTTATAATCAAATGCCGATAAAACTGTCTTTAATTCACTGGACGAATTGTCTATGGTTTTGTTTATGAAATATAGATCGGTACGTTTTTGCTGAACCACCGTTATTAACAACTTTTTACTAGCCTGATTTAAGATCTTAGCGCTTCCTCGAATGTCTTTTTTAGTGGATATCTTGACACACGTAGGAATGAGATTATGATCTCTGCATCTCTTCAAGAAATTTAAAGCTGTCATGTATCTTGCGCGCTTGGTCTTTAGATCTTCTAATCGGCGTATTTTATTTGCTATTTCCAGTCAGTACTGGTTTAAATTACTTTTACGGAGTTTGTCGCGTTTATTTTTGGTTTCAATTACTTTTATTTTTAATTCACGATGTTTCGGGCGCTTTCCAGTACCCATGGTCACGGGGGACTGAGATGACTGACGTCCCGATGTCATTGTTAAACCCGGAGGATCTTCAGCTTTTTTAATTATTGATTATGGTCCGATCTATGCAAAATGAACTGACTATGTCCTGAGGTCTTGCAGTGGTATGCTTGGGTTTAGTTTTAATTTTATTGATTATAGGATCCCAAGCCTCCTTCTCTATTGAAATTAGGATGTTTTTTTATTTCATGTATCATCCTTGGTAGGAATCGGTGTTCTTTCGCGAGGATTTGTGGTCTATCAAATCTGATGTAATAGTTGGGGCCGTCTAGGATATGATCACAAACTGCAGACTTACCGGAACGTTGATGCTTCACATCAGCTATATGTTCTTTTACGCGGGTTCTAATTGATCTTTTTGTTTTTGCTATATAAGAGAGACCACATTCACAATCAAGCTTGTACACTCCTGCATCTTGTAGAGGAATATGACACTTGACGGATGGTAGGAACTGACTAATCTTCTTCGGCGGCTTGTAGAATGTTCTAATAGAAGCTCGCTTCAAATTACAAAAATTGCATGGAAACTTTAGATAAACGCGAAACAACTAATTACAATGAATGCAAAAATAAACACATTGATAAATACCATAAATTAACAACTAAATCAAATGTCCAACATACGAAATCGTTTAGCACAGACACGAATCATAAACAACGCGCTGTCTACAACTTATCGAAACAAACACTGGACGACGCCACAATAAAAGTTTTAGAAAAAGGTATTAATTTCGCAATAACACCGCGAAGTACCGTATGAGAACATTATCTGTAGTGTTGAGGACTGCCTGTATAAAAATAATATTGGTAATAAAGATTTAGAGGCCATACGTCAAGACATCTCGTCTATATTACGTCGAAGTTCAGCGCCGAAATTAAATCTTCCCAAAAATGAATTTAACGCGTTGAAAAACTTACGCAACAGACCAGAGCTTACGATTCTCCGCGCAGATAAAGGTAATTCTACGGTTATAATGGATACGTCAGATTACAATTTTAGAATACAACAACTTTTGTCGGATGAAACTACTTATCGAAAGGTCAAAACAGACCCTACAACTAATACGCTTAAAACAACTAGCGATCTAATTAAGAAATACTCCGAGAAATTAAATCTGGACGTTAATTCGATAATACCTTCATGTGCCAAACCACCGAAGTTGTATGGGTTACCAAAAATACACAAACCAAATGCTCGATTACGTCCAATAGTGAGTCAGATTGATTCGCCAACTTAGAGATTGGCTCAATACTTAGCTAAAATATTATCACCACTCAGAGGACACACAAGAGCACACACTAAGGATTCATACCATTTTGTCAGTGAAATAAATGACCTACATCTTACTGATAATGAAACCATGGTCAGTTTTGATGTTCAGTCTCTATTTACATGCCTACCTGTTGAAGACTGTATCTCAATTTTAACTAGGAAACTAGAGGAAAATAAGATGCCAGCAGAATACTAACCTACACCAAGGATCTACAAGCGGTACGTCGACGATACTTTGAAAATTTTACCATCAGACAAAGTAACTGCATTTTTAGAACATCTTAATTCCATAAACTCTAAAATTCAATTTACTATGGAGTTAGAGGCAAATAATTCCTTACCTTTCCTAGATGTGTTAGTCATCCGAAATCCTAATAACACCATTGTTCACACTGTTTATAGGAAAAAGACCCATACAAACCGATATTTAAACGGTGAATCTCACCACCATCCTTCACAGTTAGCTACCGTGGGCAAATCTTTGTTACAGAGAGCACGAGGGATCTGTGACAGCAAACACCTGGCCGCCGAGCTTCAACACGTCAAGCAAGTTCTGCATGACAACAAACTTCGGGTCCCGCGCCTACGTCACAGTGACCGAGTGAAGCCGGCCACAGTCGAGCGTGTGCCTGCTGTACTACCATATGTCAGAGGTGCACAGACAAGATTTATTTATTTATTTATTCAGGATAACAACAGCTTATTAATAATTAAACAATATTACTTAAATAATTAAACATGAAAAAGCCAATTATAGTTATCCCCAAAGTAGATAACCAAACATAACACTGAAAATCTAATACACTACAAAATAAAATGGGTAAGAACTATTACTAAACAGTAACAAATTAATTGAAGTAATAATATTACCATCATGACGTACATATATATACAAGTACAGATGTATATACGTACAAAAGACATACATAATTACACTTACAAACACACACATATGAATCTATAAATGCAAATATACTTTGGTGTTATTGTCATTATATAAAGTAGATAAAAAAATAAAAAGAGACACTAATATATACATACATACATACACAGATATACATACATATATATATATATACATATATATATATACATACACATATATATACATAAATACATACATACATATAATTATACATACATAATAACAGTATTAAACGAGGGCACAAATATTAATTTGGGTACTATTTTAATTACAATTTACTGATTACCTTCAGCTGCATAGAATAAAAACTTGTTAATTTTATTTTTAAATCCACTTTTAGTATTATTAAAAGGATCAGTTGCGCTAAATTTTTTGTCGTAAGTTGCTACTAAACGCGTTAGAACATTGTTTTTCCCATAATTGGTCGGGTGAAAGGGGATGTAAAACAAAGAGTTTCTGGTATGTCTGGTACGTTTCAATGGGACATTAAATTTAATGAAAGCCAATAAGTCAGGGCAGTCAATTCCTCCGTGTAATATATCGAATAAAAGCCCCATATCCAGCAGAATACGTCTTTCTTCAAGCATTAAAGATTGGTTATATCTTGAAGCGAGCTTCTATTAGAACATTCTACAAGCCGCCGAAGAAGATTAGTCAGTTCCTACCATCCGTCAAGTGTCATATTCCTCTACAAGATGCAGGAGTGTACATACTTGAGTGTGAATGTGGTCTCTCTTATATAGGACAAACAAAAAGATCAATTAGAACCCGCGTAAAAGCACATATAGCTGATGTGAAGCATCAACGTTCCGGGAAGTCTGCAGTTTGTGATCATATCCTAGACGGCCCCAACCATTACATCAGATTTGATAGACCACAAATCCTCGCGATAGAACACCGATTCCTACCAAGGATGATACGTGAGGCTATTGAAATTAAAAAACATCCTAATTTCAATAGAGAAGGAGGCTTGGGATCCTATAATCAATAAAATTAAAACTAAACCCAAGCATACCACTGCAAGACCTCAGGACATAGTGTCATTTTGCATAGATCGGACCATAATCAATAATTAAAAAAGCTGATGGTACTCCGGGTTTAACAATGACATCGGGACGTCAGTCATCTCAGTCCCCCGTAACCATGGGTGCTGGAAAGCGCCCGGAACGTCGGGAATTAAAAATAAAAGTAATTAATAGCAAAAATAAACGCGATAAAATCCGTAAAAGTAGTTTTAATCATGTGTAGTGTTCGCGTAAATATAAGAAATCAAAATTTAATGCGTTTATAAAGTCAGTAAGGACATGAACATTCGAACATGACCTCTCCATGCACTCTAAAATCTTCTGTAACTTGAAGTAACTCTATCTACTTAGGTAGTTGCATTTTGAAATGAAAGAGGTGACTTGTTTGTGTACCAATGAATCAAGGGCTTTGGTAAGAAACGGCAGTATTGAAATAGGTCTAAGATGGAAAGGTAGCGATAGATTTGGTACTTCAGCCAGGGTCAAGTTAAAAGACTTTAGCTATAAGTTGGGGATAACACCAGTTGAAAGTGATAAATTGATGATGTGAGTGAGAACTAGAGTAATAATATCGAGTGTGAGAAGTATCATAGATCTACTCACCTCATCATAGCCGGAAGATTTAATGGAAAGTATGACTTTTTTAGTATCCTTATCAGTCACTGAAAAGAAGTTTAAAGAATTACACGATAACAAAGACATGGAATTAAGTTCCTGGAGAGTCGTAACTCGACAAATGCAGACGCGAAGCATGAGAGAAGTGTATGTTCATGTCATTGAATGTAATATTTGGGATAAGAGAATTTAAATGTGATTTTCTAAATCCCAGGGAATTAAGAAACTCCACCACAAGAATTAATTCTAGCGGCATTTATGATGGTGAAAACAAGTAAAAGTTTCCTTAGAAATAAGCCTACAGCTAGACTATACTATAAAAGGAACAAATTCGTAGTTATTGAAGCGTGGTAACTGCAGCAAAATTGACTGAACTGACCGGACTGAGTGAAGGAATGAAAAAAGTGTCAAAATCAAAACTCTTTTTTAGCTAAATAAATTTTATTTACGTATTAAATAACATACTTGATACACTTAAAACTTTTACCTTCAACACATATATGATACAAATAATCAATTTTTAAACTAAAAGTTTAATAAGGCCACTAATCTATATTTAATGTTTTAAATGTGCCTGCTATTCCCATATACTCTTCATTAAGTTTATTCATCAGTCTGTACTTTTCATTTGTGGAAGCTGTTTTCATTTCGCTGTAATACTCTTGAAACTCCTTTGAACTAAGAACATCTACCCACTCTCCTGCAAATAACACGTATATTATTGCACACACACAAATAACAAATTATCTGAGTATTATTCTAATAAAGTGTTGTTAGAAATGAGAGACAAAAATAAAAGAAAATCCGTAGAAGTGAGGTTAGAACTCTAAACTCTCACTCGTTCAAGCAGAATATAGTGCATTGCAGATAACTAACTTGATCAGTCATTCGACAAGCCCCATAGTCAATTGCGGTAATGTTATTTAAATTTTTAAACCGTCATTAGTGAAAAATTTTCCATTCCAAACTGTTGCACAAAACATCTTCTGACAAATATTTAATGCTTTCTTACATTTGGTGTTAGTAGTTGGTCCAGAATAGACCATTAATTTGGCAGTGCTGATATATAACTTTAATGTGTCAAACATCAAGATTTAAACTATGTTAAACGTTCATGAGTTCCCCTAAAAGTAAAATTTATTTGTTACATACTGTTCTGTAAGAGCATACCGAGTTGTTAGTGTAAATCATAGTAATCAGTAAATTAAAAGAAACATGAGATTGGACAGGGATGTGTTATGACAAACGCTGAACGCATTTAGGTTGAGCGCTGGTTTGATACAGGCATTAAAGTCTCTGTATAGGGACTCGAGTGCTTGTGTTACAATCAACGGGGTCCACTCGGACTGGTTTGGCATCCATAAAGGTGTCAGACAGGGCTGTGTAGCTTCCCCGTGGCTGTTCAACCTATTTATGGTCAGCTGTATGGAAAATTTGAAAGTTGAAGAATGCGGGTTAAGAATGGGTGAGTTAACCATCAAATGCCTTTTGTACGCCGATGATCAAGTCATACTTGCGTCGTCGGCGGCCGAGTTGCAAATGATGGTTACATTAATGAACAGGTCATTAAAAGAAAGGGGAATGAAAGCGAACGCAAGTAAGACGAAAGTGATGGTTTTTGTAAGAGATGAAAGCAAAACGGTATGTGAAATAAGAATAGAAGGAGAGTTAATTGAGCAAGTGGATGAGTTCGTATATTTGGGATGTGTATTCAGCAGGGATGGGAGATATGATAAGGATATTGAACGACGAGTGAATGCAGGAAATAAAGTAAATGGGGCTCTACACTCTATTGTTAAAAGTCAGAATGTGTCAAAAAAGGCACGTATGGCAATTCACAGTGCTGTATTAGTCCCTACTTTAACGTATGGTAGTGAAAGTTGGGTGTGGCAGCAGAAGCACGAGAGTAGAATAAATGCAGTAGAAATGCGGTCGCTAAGGAGTATGTTAGGGCTGAATCTGAGTGACAGGGTGAGAAACTGTGTGATAAAAGAAGAGTGTGGTTTGCAAGATGATGCGGTGACCAGGATTAAGAAAGGAATGCTTCGGTGGTTTGGTCATGTAGAAAGAATGAATGCGGAAAGACTGACAAAGCAAATATATGTTGCAGAAGTGAATGGAAGAGTCGGAAAGGGACGTCCTAGGCGGAAGTTTGTCGACCAAATTGGCGATATACTAAAAATTGGCCAAATTAAGAGTACCCTTAACCGACGAGCATGTATGCGTAGGTATATGGATGTGGAAGAGGCGAGAAAGGTATGTCAGGATCGTGCTAAATGGAAGTCTGTAGTCTCTGCCTACCCCTCTGGGTGACAGGCGTGATTGTTTATATATATGTATTTATAGTATAAAAGAAACATATATGTTCATTAATCTCGGCCTGATCAGGATGATATTATTCATCAGCCAATCTCTCTTTTTTACTTATGAAGAAAATTTCCTGATTACATAATTCAGAATTTCGAAAGAAGCTTTGCTTTAAATTTTTGAATTTGCAGAGTTTCTAATCTATCAACGCAAGAAATATATCTGTTGATGAAAGAACTTGAGTCGTTATATTCTTAAATTTCTCTGCATAAAGCACTGTTCAACATGATGAAAATGCTTGGTGATCTCACGTAACCACGTTTTGCCGAAAAGTTTAAAAATTAACTCTTTAAATATATCAATTAAGTAGGTACGGTAGCATATTATTATAGTAATAATAATATAAAACTTACTGTGTAATTTAACAATAGATCTCTCATTTCCGCCTAGTTCTTCTGGTAACACATCTCTTTGTACAACCTGGTGTAGTGATTTCAAATCTTTGTGTATTTGAATACGTTGACTTAATTTTGCACTGAGAATTGGTTTGACAAATTCAGTTATCGTTTCCACAGTTTTTGATGAAGTAACTAAATGCAGAGCTTTTATGCTCATTGCATAGCCATCCTGAAAAAAATCATGTTCTTAAAAATTAGTAGATAGTTCATCACATCATAGCTCATCATCTAGCCAATATAATAGAATGTAATTTTAAAATGTACGCAGACGACCTTAAACTTTACAAAATCATTGACTCCAAACTAGATGTGCCCGCTGTACAGTACGAGTTGAATAGATTATACGACTGCTGTTATCAAAACCATATGATCCTCAATACTGGAAAATGTTCTCATCTAAACGTAACTAGAAGGAAAAATAAAACCAAGGCAACATACAAGTTAAACGATGAGCCATTGAGTGAGGTCACGGAAATCCAAGACTTAGGCGATTTAATTGACAGCACGCTCAGCTTTAGAAGTTATGTTGACTCGATAGCAAAAAAAGCTTCTAAATTATCTGGATTCATATCCAAGCAAATAAAATCTTTTAAAGACCCTGGTGTAATCATTCCGGTCTATAACTGTTTGGTGAGAACTATTGTGGAATACGCTAGCCCAGTTTGGAATCCGGGGTACAAGTGTCACTCAAACCAACTGGAAAAGATTCAGAAAAGGTTTATGTACCAGTTATCGTATGAAAATAATCAATGTAGGACACTCATTTCATACGAAAGTAGATTGGCACAATACAAATTAGAATCGCTATCCAAGCGGTGGGAATCATCTGGTGTCATGTTCCTCTATAAAAATTATCCATGGTCTCATCAACTGTCCGGACATTTTAAATCATTTAGATGTCGGTCCCTAGAGCTGACAGTCGTTTGGGCCGCAAAAAGACTTTTGTCACGCCACACTGTAAAACAGTGGCGGGTCATCACTCGCCATTGTACAGAATAACTAATAGTTATAATAATATTCGTGATTTGTTCGACATCTTTCATTATTTTAACGCCTCAGCAAGGGCTTACATTCGATTAGCCATTAATTAACTAATATTTATCACTTTAGAATTTCTTTTCATTTCTTTATTTGTATTTGTTATCTTGTCCACTTGTTACATGCTGTGTTCACAGTTATTAGAATGAACGTTTGTTTGTTACTTTTTTTATGTTACCTGAACCACGTAAACGTTACATTCCATTTGTGAACCAAATAAAAAAAATCACCACAACAAAAACCGTCGATTCAAGCTAATGTTATTCAAGGGTTCGTTATTAATGCCATAGGTTCATTAATGTAACAATGTAATGTACAACAAGGTAAGTAGCAAAACAAAAAGCCGAAAACTTCTTGATGTCTATTTTGCTTCATATTCATATGGATGGAATTTTTATGTATAAATTACCATGTTAACTTTTATATGTTAGTTTTTATGGCTAAAATAACGTTACATGGTTATCATTGTCGTGACCCAAAATAAAGAGAAGGAAAAGAAGTAACATTCTAAAACTAAGATATTCGGAATAGATTCAATCAACATTTATATCAATATATATATATATATATATATATATATATATAAATATGAAATCGGTAATTTCCGTTACAGTTATTGCGTCCATTTTAGATTTGATTGCTAATAAGTAAGCGATGCAAAGTTGACTGCCGGTATATCGAAGAAATGAAATCAAATGAATAATTTTTATTTAATATAGATTATTGTATAATATATATTGAAAGTCATTTTTATTTAATTTCAATAATTTATGTCCCACTTTTTTTTGTACAATTTTTCTTTAATAAAATATTTAAACTTGTGTAATGATCAATTTTGTACATTTTCTGGGATTTTGTTGTAAAAGCATATACATTGCATTGTAACTGGTATTACAAGCTTATATTCGTTCATAGTGTATAAAGTATGAACACCTTTATTCTTACGACAGCTACTTATGTTTTTATGTACTTACAGTACATTTCACAAATATATTGCGATGCCATAGTTAATGTGTTTGTTTCCTTAAATTTTTCTCTATGAGACTCCTTATAATTTAAGTTATAAATAGCCCGTACGACTCTCGTTTGGAAAACAAATATGACGTTACTGTCAGTCGCATTACCCCATAGTAAGATTCCTTAAGAAATTACGTTATGAAAGTAACTAAAATAAACTAATCTAGCTGTATCAGCATTTGTTAGACTTCTAGTCTTAGACTTTAATCGCAGGAGGCAGAGACTTTAAGCGCAGCATAAGCTGAAAGAAAGATAATAACCCTTTTTGTAAAATTTTTCTTTATTGAAGAAAAATTGTACCAAAAGGGTTATTATAATATAAATAAATACATAAATGAAAATAACCCCCGGGAATGAGGTGATCGCCACCATGCTTATTTTATAAAAATTCATTGAAAAATTGTAACAAAATAAATTTATTGTAAAATTACTACGTTCAAAAAAATCCCGCTGGGTTTCTTGCTGGTTATTTCCAGGACAGAGGTTTTTTGCAGACCAGTGGTATATTAAAAAATGACTTTCAATAAGTATTATCACGTTGGTGGACAGTACAAGTTAAGAATTACTTCCCAAATGCCACTACTTATTCTCATACATTGCCTATTGGCGTACCGGAATTCTGTCAATGTGTATGTACCTTGACGTGTTGTAGAACTATATAAGATGATAGTAGGAAAGCCGCATTACTATTGCGGTGACACTACAACATACTCTTCCTTGTAAAAGTATTGAAAATCAAACGCCCTCAGACGTACTGCCGTGACACGTGTAAAAACTATGACGCCTATAGGCGTTCTGTCATATCATTTTTTACTACCTGAACGCCCGTGGACGTTACTGCCCACCAATGTGTTACATAACAATCTATGTCGAATGAAATCATTAATTCCATTTCATTTCCTTTCCTTTCCTTTCATTTCATTTCATTTTTTACAGCATATGCTGCAGAACTAAGCCTGCCTGCTAATTTAGATAGATGGGGGCCCATTGAAGCTTAGCTTTAATAGTAATACCAATAACAACAGTAGTATCCACAAGACTCAAGTCTTCCCCATTTAAGAGCACATTGGTATTTGAATGTTTAAAATTAGGTATTGTAAATTTAATACATTTTGTCTTATTGCTATTTAAGAGCAAATTATTAGCGTTTAACCAATATACTAGTTTCAATGGAGCATTATTTACTTTTTCAAAATTAATTGACTGTCGATTGAGTTTGAAAATTAATGAGGTATCATCAGTACAATACTATATCGTGATTGTCCCCTAAGGATAAGGTAAGTCATTAATATAGACTAAGAACAGCAATGGGACAAGGATCGAGCCCTGAGGAACGCCCATTGATACTAATGATTTGGAGGAACCTTTACCATCGATAATGACTTTTTGAGTTCTCTAAGTTCTTTTTTGTTCTTCACTATGAAATAATAAGTTTAAGTACAATATTTTTGACACTATAATGTTGTAGTTTACTGATTAATATCCCATGATGAACACAATTGAAAACCTTGGGAAATTCACAAAAAATACCTAAGGCATCAAGTGAACTCTCCCAGGCATAAAAATATATTTCATAAGCTTGAAACCTGCGTCAGTCGTCGAGCGATCCCTTGTGAAACCAAATTGATTTTATGGAGTAATTCATTTTTATTAAAAAAATAATTGACCTAAAATTATCTTTTCAAAAATTTTACTGAGAGTTGGTATTACAGAAATACGTCTAAAATTAGCGGGGTCAAATGTAGTACCAGATTTAAATAAAAGGATAACTTTAGTATGTTTCATTAAATCAGGAAACACACGAGATTCGATACTAGTATTACAAATAATAGCAAGATGAGGTGCAATTAAATCTATTATGGACCCAATAACTATGACGGAAATGTAAATATTTGGCTGTGGAGCACTCTTTTAAACATTTTAGAATAATTTTTGGGATATTCTCTAAAATTATCGGAAAGATTATACGATCTTTCATGGTAAAGTTCATATAACCTTCGTCTGCTCTTATGAATTCCTACTGTCGCCCATTCATTAAATGCCTTACGACTGTTACTGGAGCATGTTTTAGAAGTAAATGTTTTATTAAATTAATTGCTTATAAGGGTAAATAATACTCCATATAAATAGTCTGAAATGTTATTGTATGGAAGCAATTTAAGTTTTTTTTACCATATTACTTCTAAATCTCTCCAGGGGTTTTGCCTTAATCGGAACAAACAAAATTTTCACAATTTTCTGTTCTTTTTTTGTGCATATATGGTAATGAAGTCAGTTGTCCACAATGACCTGAACTTAGTGTTTTAATTATGAATTTCTTGATTGGTACAACATCTGTAAAAATATTATCAATAGAAGTTACACTACACCCTGCAATACGTGTAGCTTCAAACAATAAATTATCAAGATTGAATGATTTGAACAATAAACAATATATAGTACTGATGGAAGAAGCTTCCAGGAGATTGATATTAAAGTCTCCGCATGCTATAAGAGATTTATTCCGTTTATTAAACTTAACTAAAACTTCTTCCATATTTTTTACCAAAGGTATCATACATCGAACATGGGGGTCTGTAAACACTGACAAAAATGAGGTGCTCAAGCAACACATGCCATTTCTACACTTTGCTCAACAGAGAAGCTCACTATATCTTTACGTTATTTACATGATATTGATTTATTAGCTAATATTAAGGTGTCGATCCGTAATTTAGCATCCCTATTGAAAGAATTGACCAACTGGTGATTACTGGAATTAAATATGGAGTTGTAATCTTTCAACATATATATATATATATATATATATATATATATATATATATATATATATATATATATATATATATATATATATATATATATATATATATATATTATATGGTTACTATTTAAAAATAGTTCAATTTATAGTTATAGTTCTTTGCCTAACATTTCTTGTATATTTTTATGCACCAGGTTAATACAGTTTTTATTATCGCTATTTTGTGAAATTACATAGTAAAGTATTGGTGATTTATATTCTAAGGTATTTAAATTATCTTTGCTGGAGATTCAAATTCAAATTCAAATTCTTTTTTTTATAGAAGAGGGGGGCAAACGAGCATGTGGCTC